AAATGGTATATGTTAAACATGACAGTTTGAATTTGCAAAAGAAATTTCCAGCTTGGGATTCAAAACCAGCCAGCATTGATGATTTTTTTTTTATTGCTGTAGACCTATATAGATTCCTTTTGTGCCTTTCAGGAGACATTGTATATTTTTATGCTTATTGCCTTTCTTTGAAAGTATGGTTCTGATTTGTGCATACTTATTTCTGATATCCATGCTTTAATAAAAAAAACTATAATGTGCAGTCATGAACAAGGAAATCGATAATTGAGCTACTCTTATGAATGCTTCAAAGTGTTAGCTTACCTGTCATTTTATGGGTATGGCTAGAATATAATTTGAACAAGCAATTACTCCCTCTGTTCTAAATTATAAGGCGTTTTGGCTTTTCTAGATACATTGATTTTACAATGTATCTAAACATAGTGTACATCTAAGTGCATAGCAAAAACTATGTATCTAGATTCCTAGAAAAGCCAAAATGTCTTATAATTTGGAATGGAGGGAATACTTGCTATATTCTTATTATATTTTGTTGTAATGTTTTATTCTGACATGCTTCATTTTTATACAAATTTTGTGACATGTGATTACTCTTCAGAAGGAAAAAGGTGATGGCTGAGTGGAGCAATTCTGTTCGTCCAATTCAGTGGAGATGCCACTGGTTAGAGTTGCGAATGAGGGAGCTTTCATCTCAAGTATCGAAGTATGACAGGGAGCTTGCTCTAATAAAGAAACAAAAGGAATCAAAACAGGCAGAAAGCAAAGCAAATGGTACTATGTCAGAATCGATGCAGATTCACAAAGGCCATGGAAACAGTATCATGAAGAGGAGAAAGAGGAAGAGGCATGAAGAAAACGTGGATGCGTCCTTGTACATCAACAAGCACCGGATATTGTCATACTACCATGGTCTGGCATCCAATTATGTCGTCTTCTTTTTTGTAGGGATAGGACATCAATTTATCTGTGTTTGTGTTAATTTTGCACCAGGTTTCGTTCTTAATGACAATAATTCTTTCAATATTTTGCAGATAAACAAAATAAGGGAGCTGAAACTGATGGTGTCTTAGTTGATGACGATTGTGGCACAGGTATGAATGTATCTATCCGGTATTTTGTCAAACTTTTCAGTGAAGTTAAAATGGAAAACATAGTATCTAGCAAAGGTACACCATTACTCCATTAGACAGAATTAGCTCTTGACTCAGTTGTGAGAAAAAAATTGCTTTTGTTACACCATATGCACGCTATGAAAGGAAACCAAGATATCTAATATAACCTTGGTGCCCCAGTTTTTTTCTTTAACACAAAGGAGATCTGCGCATCTTTGTATTAAGAAGAAAAAGGGGCAAGAACCCTTACATTGCACACCGACACACCCTTGATTTTAAGAAAACATAAGTGCCCTTTTTATACAACAAACACGATCTTGACCAAAACTAGAAACTAGACACCATTCCATTTTTGCTTTTTCGTTTTAGACTATACCAGTCTCCTACACACACCTTTGATTTTACTTTATTAGAATATATATGTCAATAAAAGTATAAAACTTACAATTGCTTGAAAGCACATTACATGGCAATTTTTTAATGTCATTTTATGTGACAAATCTTAATGCTTACATGTACTTTTGTGGTCTTGGTTTTTAAAGTTGTAAAGTATCCAAGCAAATATTCTCTCTATCCAAGTATGTAGGGTGTATTTTATTTTGGCACGGTGTTCAAAACTAGACCTTTTTTAACTGGGATTGAAAACTAGACTTTGATCATTCTATTCTCGCAATACTGTTTACACATTACAGCTATAACACGAATTTAGTGTGAAAGCATTTTGAAATATTTATGCAGCTGTATAGTTTATACACAAGTAATACATAATTTGACTAAGCTTAAATCAGATATATGATCTTTGAATTTCCAGAAACATGTATACCTTACATAATTTGACAGAGTTAGTTTATATAGCCATATGATAAAATATGCCAACATCTTCCTGACCCTCTATGATTTTATTGCATATTATGGTAGCTTTCCCATTTTTTGATAGATCAATGAAGGACATACATAACCACTTGAGGTTTAGTTAAATTGGCCATGCAGAAACTGTGATTCATCTTTATTCTCTGCCTAAGTAATTGTCATGCAAGTGCTAACTGTGTATTTGGTTCATTCTGATTGCAGTTGATGGTAGTATGAGAGGTGGACTTGACACTGCTACATTGCTTGATTCCGAGGATTATGATATGATTTGCGAGCAACGTACTTTACAGGATATTCTCTTGACAATTGATGGGGTTCAGTCTCGAGTTCATCTGCTGCAAGATCGTCTCAGCAAGGCTCATTCTGAAGGAGAAAATTTGGCATTTTCTGGGGGCGATACTCATGTCAGGGTGGCTCGGAAGAGACAGCGTACTCAAAAGCACTCATTCTCTTATACAAAGTCTCGACATACTAAACCACAGAAAAAGAAGAATCTAAACATTTTGCTGAAGGATGATGATGGACAAGCTCTTGCAGGAGGATCTGCTTTGCCTGACAGGGAAACTGATGCTCATATAATAGGTACAAGTAGGAGTAGTGAAGAAAGAAGTGGAGACTGCAATCACTTGAGGGACAAAGCCATCACATTGGACCTACTGTTGGGTACTGGCAATTCCATAACAAATAGTGATATTGGGGATTTATACAAAGTAGTAAGTCTTTGGCCCTTTGCTTATTCTTATTCCTAATTTAATAATTCATTGCTTGTTTGGAGTTGGGTTGATACTCTGAGAATTGCTGCTTACACATTGGAATTTGGATCATCTTATATGCACATTAAGCTTGGGATGTATAAATTCCCCCATTTACTATTTCTAGAGAAAATAGTCGAACATTATACTGCATTTCTAAAAATATTGCAGGGATGGCCGCTTTACTTGACTACGTTTAAATAAAAAAGCATAATACCCATGTAAACAGATACTGTTTCCCTGTAGGAACCTGGATCTGTAGTTATGTCTTGGATATGAGGTAGGGGCTTAAAAATTATTAGGATGTTTGTAAATTAGATCCATACAGAATTGTCTATATCTACTTTGTTAGCATAGATAGAAGATATCTCTAGTGAAATTTGCAGGTTATAAGATTGAAGCCATCAGGAGAGCAATGTGATGAATCAAGTTATTTTTAAATTTGTTTTTACAAACACACAAATACTAGTAATATAGTATGTTATGTTTCTATGACTACATTTTGAAAGCTTAATGATAGTTGTGCATCTAAAACTATTTCACTGATTTTGAACCACTTCCCTGAAAATAGTGAACGTGTTAGCTGATTGGGCAATATATTTGCACTGGCATTTAGTTGATACTACTGTTTCTTTTCTTTTTCTGTAGAACACTGATGATATCCTCATAGACAATCAAGGAGCCAATGAAGCTTGTGAGCAGTTTTATAAGGCCAAGCAGCCTTCTGGAAGTTCTTCCAAAGACCAGAACATTTCTACTCCAGCAGAAATGAATAATAATTCTCCACCAGTGGAAGTGAAGAACACTTGTGCTGCAGTAAAAGTTGAGAGCATTTGTGCTCCAGTTGAAGTAGATAGCACTTCTGCTCCAGCATTGGAGCAAGAATCATTCCTTGAAAAGTCACCCTCGAGGAAGGCTGTCTCCCCTGGGAACAAGCAGGAGCTGGAACCTAATAAAAGGCAGAAGAACAAAGTCTCTTTCTTTACCAAGAAGCAGAGGAAAGAGGCCTCCAAAACACCTGACGCAAAGGAAAAAACTGAGGGCATGTCCTCAGCTGCAAAGAATCAAAGGAGCACGCCTTCTGATGCAGCAAAGGAGAAAACTAAAAGCACACTCTCTGCTGCAGCAGGGCCGGTTGGAAAGAAGCGTAAATCTGGAAATGAACCTGCAGATGCAAAGAAGCATAGATCTTTGAACTCATCCTTGGCATCGAAGGAGCAGAAAACTGGGAAGCCATCCTCAGCAGTGAAGAAGCAGAAAACTGAAAAGTCGACTGCAGCTGCAAAGGCTGAAAATGCGGGCTCAGCAACAAAGAAGCAAGAGACTGAAAGCTCATCCTCCACAGAGAAGAAGCTAGAGACCGCGAGTGCCCCCCTGAAGTTGCAGGTTGAGAAGGCTGTACTGGTTGTAAATAGCAGGAGGAGCCAAAGGGTCCGTAAGCCCAAAGTTTTTGCTGAATGAAGCAGCAGATAGAAACGCCTTAGGCTCTCTGATGTGTATGTATCTTGTAGCCTCGCCACCAAAATCGGTGGCCATATCATCAACATAGGAAGTGCTGGATCGCCGCACAAGTTAGACTTTAGTGTACATATATCAGCTTTGCCTAGATGGAAGAAAGTCTCACCCAAATTGTAGATTTGTTGGTTGGTTGTTCTTAACCCTTCTCTTCTGGGGTACCAGATTAACAATGTCATGCTGTGTTACCGTTATATCGAAAAGGAAAAAAAAGGAGAAAAATATGCCATGCAACTGCAACTTGGCTTGTCGCATCTTTGTGCCTTTGACTTATGGTGTTTTGGTATATTTCGTCTTTGCAGCTAAACAGCCTGTGCGTTTTCAACCTTGAAAGCAAGATTGGCAGCAGTGGTGTCGAGGAAGACTGAAACAGAGAAGAGGCATGGCTCGTACGTTGCCAGGCTGAGCTTGCTATTGCTAAGCAGTGGTTGGTCATGAATGGATACTGGTACTCCATTAACGAACACAAGGAACTCTGCTACACCTAACCATGTCCTTGGTCCTTGCCATGTGACCTCTGAGCCCGCACCATTTCTCCTGATCAGACATTGGCCATCTCTTGTGATGCTTCACCTACTCCTCCGGCTATATATAAGCCGTGCTCCTGCCCCCTTTCTCCTCAGCTCTACTCGAAGAGCGCTCTACCACCACACCACAAGTCCACAATCTAAAACCCAAACGACAAAAAAGAAGGGGGAAAATAAAAGGTGCTAGCTGCCGATAGATCATGGCGGCCGTGGCCAAGATCGCCATGGAGTGGCTCCAAGACCCTCTGAGCTGCGTGTTCCTGGTCACGCTGGCCGTGGTGCTCCTGCAGCTGCGACGGCGGGGCAAAGCGCCGCTGCCGCCTGGCCCGAAGCCGCTGCCGATCGTGGGCAACATGGCGACGATGGACCAGCTGACCCACACCGCCTCCTGGCGGCGCTTGCCGAGAAGTACGGCGGGCTGCTGCACCTCCGCCTGGGCCGTCTGCACGCGTTCGCGGTGTCCACCCCCGAGTACGCGCGCGAGGCGCTCCAGACGCAGGACGGCGTGTTCTCGAACTTTTAAGCCTAATTAATCAATGTTTTGGCAATAAAGTGCTACAGTACACATATGTGCTACTGACGGATTAATTAGGCTTAATAAATTCGTCTCGTGGTTTACTGACGAATTCTGTAATTTATTTTTTTATTAGTATCCGAACACCTCATGTGACACCCCATATAACATCCGATGTGACACCCCCAAACTTTACACCCTGGATCTAAACACCACCTAAATCAAAATGTGCTACTTTTTTATACTAAAATAAAATGTGCTGCCTTTGTTGTAGGTCTACCGCTCACTTATCAGCGGCAACAGTGGAAAATAAAGGCACAATAGTTGTTTTTGGTTCATGAACTATTACTCAAAGGCTCAGTTTCATTCCTGAACTTTTAAAACAGCTATTTTAGTCATCAAACTATATTTTTAGACTTAATTTAATCATAGAACTATAAAGATGATCGTTTCAGTCCTCAAACTTTGCATATTGAGCTCAATTTCGTCCTAGAACTATAAAGATGATCGTTTCAGTCTTCAAACTTTGCATATTGCGCTCAATTTAATCCATAAACTATCAAAAGTATATATATATATATATATCCCTAAAATTATTTTTGTGGGAGCAATTATAGTTGCTTCGAACGCTATTTATTCCTTAAGAAACATGGATATATTGAAACAATAATAGATCTATAATTTTTTATTAGCTACTTCTAGAGTTAGGCTCAAGTGCTCAACTAATAATCATTTGTGTATAAAATAATATTTTTATCCATAGGCTAAAAATAAGTTATATTTAAGAATATTGAGATGAATACAAATGTTGAAAATGTGCTATCCGATTCGGTAGTTAGGGTGACGCCAGGGAGAATAGTACCTAACGATGACTATCCATCTCAAATCGCACGTTGTGCTGGACAAAGGACGAAGTTGAGTCAAAATGCATTTTGATAATTCATAGATAAAATTGTGCCTAAAATATTAACTTTTCTTTTGGATAGACAAAATTGGGTTGAAAATAAAAGTTTAAAGACTGAAATACAATTTTGATACTTTATGGACGAAACCGAGCAAAAAATGCAAAATTTGAGCACTAAAACGGCCGTTTTAAAAGTTAAGGGATGAAATTGATACTCAAGAAATAGTTCAGGGATCAAAATGGCTATTCTACCGAAAATAAATCATAGATAATTTTATACTGTATATAATAACATGTCTAGTCTGGGTATTAAGAGGAAGAGCATTTTTACGGCGACAAAAATTCCCAGCCCAGCTAATCATTCCGGAGGAACACGAAAGTTAAGCTACTATCACAACACTCACCTATTGGCAACGTGTTGTCTCGTTTGGCACGACTTCATTTTACTAGTGAATTTTTTTAGGCTTCAGCTTCATAAATAACTCCATTGTGGAGCTAGAACTGTTTTGATAAACTATTTGGCAAAAATATGAGAATAAGGATATGTTTGGGTCCTCTCCTCTAAATTTTAAAGCTCTAAAAACTTTAGAGCACTTCAGCTCGGTTTTGAGAACTAAAGCTCTAATGTGGGTGAGCTAAAGTGTATAGCTAACTTTAGACAATCTGTTTGGAGACTTTCAGCCTGTTCGGGAGGCCGTATCGTATCGTGGATTATTTATTGCTGGCTAGTTTGGTATGAGAGAAAAACACTATTCCCGACTGAAAATTTACGATCATTTACGAGCAAGCGAACATGCTGTTTACCTCTAAAGTATAGAGGAGGGATACAAACGAGTCTTAAGTTTGTAGAAAGTATTCATGAAGAAGCTTTAGTCACTAAATTGGAAAACAAATTATAGAAAAGACTGAAAAAAAATCTAGGGGAAATGCATCCTCTTATAAACATATATTTTGAAAAAAAATTACATGCATACATACCAAACAAGACCAACAAAAAGCTCATAAATAAAAAACCCTAACAAATTATTTTTTTAAAAATAGAAAATTATATTTTTCTCTGACTGAATTGACAAATAATTTAAATAAATCTTGAAATATTGTAGAAAATATTAAAACATTTGTTTTGTTTGATGTTTTCTATTCACATACCAAATTGAAATTCTAGAGTGTGGTACGTGCCTTGCTGGCTTGCTTGAGTTTCTGTCCAAGCATAGGGTTACCCTCATCATGCCTGTGCTTGCTTTATGCCGTGCTTGTTTTTTTTTTATGCCGTGCATGTTCTGGGCCAACATTTGTGTGGTATGTGCTAGCCCATTTGGACAGGTCTATCGCAGACGCGTTGGGACGCGGTGAGGCTGCGCGCCACCAGCACGTCACCTGGCACCATCGCGGGTCCTTGCGCTCCTCCATCTCGGGATTGTTGTCCCTAAAGCTGGGAGGAGTGGGCCTAGTCTTACTCTTATCCGGCCCAACATTCCTTTCTTTACTCCGTGACCGCCTGACCGGCCTTCCTAATGGTCCATGACCAGAGCCCGTTACTAATGAATCCATCCCATAGTTGCTTACCTCTAAGGCTGTCCGCACCGCAGACCTCTAAAGCGGCCGGTACGCTAGCGGTGGCGTACCGCGCGCCCGCACCGCGCGTCTGCAACACGCACGGTAGCGTACCGGCCGCACAGGAAAGCGCCACAGACAGCGCAGACGGGAGAGCCACGCTAAACACTGTAGCGCGGAGAGAGAAAAAGAGTTGGTGAGAGAGAAAGGGGGAGAGAAGGGAATAAAATATGGGATAGTGGGTATAGAGTATGGATAGAATAAGGCTCCCTTTGTTAGAAAGGAAATTTTCATGTTTTCCTTTTAGTATGAAATAGAGGTAAACCGATTCCCTTTGAAGAAAGGAAATTTTCATGTACAAATCCTGTAAAATGAACACGTTCCAAAATTCTGATCCCCTAAAAATTCTCGTTCCGTTACTGGCCTCCCAGCTCGTTAGAGACCTTGTCTATTTGACTGCATTTGATCCATTGTAGGCAGTTGCAGGCTTGCAGCCCAATTGCATCATGAGAATTATGTTTGGCTTCCTTTCCTTTTCCTATATTAAAAACGCCATCCACTTACTAAAAAAACAAAATCAACAATGACTGATTAACAATCTAACCTCACTGAGGTGCTTTGAACTTTCCTCAAGAAAAGTTGATATATTCCTTATAAAGATAATGAAAAGAAAAGCTAGTTTGAATTCTAGACAAAATACGTCCTATTAGATGTCTAATTGCCCAAAGTATGCATCATGATGACTCAGTCTACGGTTTAGTACAAATGTAGACGCCCACAAACATATACATATACTCATTCCATATAAGAATGCACACACACAAATTTTACCTTTAAAATACCTTAGAAAACTAATAAGGCGGTAGATCCTGAAATTTTGCCTCATTATCAACAGGCACACATGCCTATCATTGGAAGAATAACCGATAAATCTCGAGATCACGTCTTGTTATCGATGGGTACATCGCCTACCACTGGAGAAATAATGTCATTAAATCATGTAATAAGTTCATAAAATGCGAGCAGCCATATCATCGAGAATTTAAATTCGAATGGATAGGTTGCACCACAAAATGGCCCCGCTCACCAGCTGGTCTTAACTTGGCTCCTACTCCCTCCGTCCCAAACAAGTGTCCCTATGGTATTCGTTCGGTCAAATTTTTTGTTGTGAGAGAAAAACAAAACAGATTGGCTGATTTATTGAACAATTATGAAAAATGAGAGGGATTGGTCACAAACCAGATAGCAAAAACAGCCCCAATATCTAACCAGCTGAGGTACACTTTTTTTAAACCAGCTGAGGTACACTTAATCAGAAGCTTATGGCTCCTACTCCCTCCGTCCCAAAATAAGTGTCGCTATGGTATTCGTTCGGTCAAATTTTTTACTATGTTTGTAGAAAATATTAACAACATAAGTTTATTATGAAAACAGATTTAACGATCTATCTAATGAAACTAATTATGTACTATAAATATTATTATTTTCTTGTATATATTTGGTCAAAGTTAGAGGTGTTTAACTCTTTGGGAAGTGAGAATGATATTTTTCGGGGGTCGATGGACTATTAATATACCAGAAAAAGTGAACAGGACGAGTTCAAGTGTGCATGACCTCATTTTACAAAAAGAAAGAAAGAAAGAAAAGCATTGAGAACGTAATTTAGAAGATTGTTTCATACTACTACTTTCTAGTACGTGAGGAACCAGCCAATGACTAAGTCCCACGTCGACCTGGAAAGCTTCCTGTTCAGTCATTAGTCATTACTTCCTCCGGGTTGGTCGGCCAAGCTGCGTCAGCACATAAAAAAGTTACATAGCGCGTGTTTAGTTGGCACCTCAAAATCCAAAAAAGTTCAGTTCATCATCGAATCTTTCTAAGCGATCGTGCATAGACAGCATTACGGAAAAAAAAAACTAATTATACCGTAGACTATGCCGTTTTGAGCCTAATTAGTCCATGATTGAACACTATTTACCAAATAAAAATGAAAGTACTACAGTAGCCCAAATTCCAACTTTCACCCAACTAAACACACCCATAAAAAAGTAGACATTTTGATGAGATCATGCTTGGAGCGAGGACACAAATCTCGTATCAATCTCACAGGGAACTATTCAATCCGGATGGAATTAACGGATGGGAACTTTTGCTTTCCAAACGTGAAACCTATGCATAGGCTTCTAGAATCTAGATTGAAGCTAAACAAAAAATACTATAGACGAATTGATGGATGCTAGGCAGACTAAACCAAGTTAGTTTGGAGCAAAAAGCTAAGGAAACCGGTCATCATTGGTTTTCCAAGTTCGCAACCATTGGTTTTGAGCGAGGCGTGGAATTTGAACTTGAAGTGGTGTAGTACTCCCTTAGTATATATTTTTTGTCGTTTTGAACAAGGTGGAGACAATTTTTTTTTTTAAAAACTCTAACTATCAATAACTACAAAAACAATTAGTTTTGAGGCACTAAAATAACAGATATTGATTAGTTCAAAAAATAAATTATAAACAAAACTATTTAGCAAAATTATTTTCTAAGTAAGAAAATCCAAATATTATAATAAAAAAGCTACCTATCCACGCTGTTTACACGTGCCACCATACTAGCTATACATAATATAATATAGAAATTATAGATATGGTTTTGTTTGGATCTCCTAAAATTGATCATAGAATCCGAGTAGTCGGACTCTTGCAATTGGACCACCAAATTATGAGAATTATACAGCTCTATCCTACTGTCGGAGATATTGGATGTGCAACACTTATTATTGAACCATCTATAATATTCATGTCTATAAAACAGGCTTCATTTTTTTATTGCAAAATCCAGATCTTTACAATAACTATCGAGAATCAAGACCTCATAATCTTATAAGGATTGTCAAAAAAAAAATAGTGTATCCTTTTGAAAAAAATACAAGGACTGTCAAGAACAAAATTCCTCTTTCACCCCTAGCCTTGAAGTCATTTGGTCTAGGATCCTTTCTAAGCGGCTGCTGAATTTATTTCAAGACAACAACAGTTGACTCTCCATGAAGAAGCAACCTACTAAAGGAGAAAGTAAAAAACATATACTGAGTAATAATGATAAACCGCTAGTGGTATGGCTTGATGACTCGTGTCTGTATGCTATGCCCGAATTCAATAACCAACGCCCGTATCCATCTGCATGTCCTTTTTTTTTATTGAAACGCTCCATCTGCATGTCCTTGACCATATCTGATCTCTCTCTGTCTCTATACCGTTGACCCACCGCTCATGATAGCTAGCCACGGTTTTGCAGCAAAACACGTGCGCAAAACCACTAACCACGTGTACGAACGAACCTACGGAGTAGGCTGTACTACTTTGCATAGCTTTTTTTGGTGAGTAGTTTTTTTTGTGAGTAGTTGCTAAAAGGCCCTGTGTGTTTGAATAATTTTTATAATCTTATGACTTTAATTTCCGTAGTATCCATAATCCTTCTCACGCTCCCCTTTATTAGAATCCTCTATAGGGACGGAGCTAGGAGGGCAAGCCAATGAGCTCAATATTGTTCTCCGTTAAATAATTGAACGAGAAAGATAAAACATGCGTTTCAAAAGGAGGATGCGCCTTAGTTGGTGCTTTACTAAGCCGTGCTCACCAAATATTTTCGTCGCAAATCATTTATAAAATAAATGTTGCAATTGTGAAGTTGATAGCTATGTATGTGGTGATGCTCGATGACACTCTATCATATCATATACAACATGAAAACAACTTTAATTTGGCGTATAATTATATTAACTCAATCATTCAACGGTACGTCTAAGAATGAATTAGATACACATAAGGTTTACCATTCTTTATAAGTATGTGAGAGTTCTTGACTATTTATCTAACTTTATTTTCGTATGTATGAGTTTTTTCTTTTACGGATCCTCTATCCCAACCTAAAAGCAGTGTTTTTGTTTGATGCATAGAATAGACCATTCCGCCACCAGCCCATTATTCCTTCCACCAGTACAAACAAGTCGCAGACTCGTTCCTTCAAAACCCACCGGGCGACACCGTCCATGTATAGCGCCTCTGCGAGCGAGTGCTCTTAAAAGAACCTAGACAGAGTGTAGCAGTGGTGAGTCACGCGACATCAACAAAGAATCATCTAAACCTATAGATAATAAAGTCATGCTAGATCAGGTGATTCCAAATGGGGTCACTCACCTAAACCAAACACGTTGCTAGTGTGTGTGTGTGTGTGTGTGTGTGAGAGAGAGAGAGAGAGAGAGAGAGAAAGCCTGGTATATTTATTGAAACATAAAAACATGTAGTGATCTTAGATGTTATGCCCTATCTAGCAGAAATAGAAGGTTTCTAACGTAAGTAGATCATCATATGTGTCATTTTATATTATATGGTTACATCAACAAATTTACCTAACAAATTTACCTAACGACGATGAAGAATGAAGAGAAGTATTTTATTTCATGGGAGCCGGTTCCAAGTACGGGAGTAGGTTGTTTGTTTTTCAGTATAGGAATGACCCTCACAATGTATACGAGCAAGTTCCATCAATATAGGACCTGCATAGAATCATCCATTGCAGACGTCCGGACGGCCTAAGTAGGAGTAGCTAGAAGAATGTTACCTTAGCAAAGTATATCACGACGAGCAAAAAGCATGCCACGTCGGTATGAAATCTAAAAATATGATTTGGTATGGCCACTTTTACTTTATCGTAGCCTCGTGGTGGCCACGTCGCATTTTGCGGCCGTTCGATCGTCGGCAGACAGATGGTCCAGATCGGCGAAGCCAGGTCGTTTTTACTGAAAAACCCTTTAAGTTTTCGGAAATCAACCCAGCTCTCTAGACGCCCTCTCGAATTTTTACAAAAACGCCTCGATTATTTCCAAATCAACGCCAGTCCATCACCGGATGGGAACTGATTTGTTTGCAAAAAAGACCTCCACTTTATCGAAAATCAACTCGCGCTCCCCAGACACTCTCACCGTTTTTTGCGAAAACATCATCAGATTTTTCTCAAATCAAAATACAACCCAACTTTGATTATATCTTTTTTTTCCAAAAATACGTGTTGGCATCATACCAGTGGCGCAATTTATGCCTTAAAAAAACTAGTTATAAAATAAGGCAGGAGGCAACAATTTATAGATTTGTTGGCCGCTAGTAGTAACTTTGGTACACTGCCATTTGCCCCTATATATACAAATAAAAACCAATGCAACCCACGTGACAGAGAAACGTAGAAGGATCACCATACGGCTGCAGCAGAAAGCACGCCGAGTTGGAGAGCCTCGAATGGGGGTGGGTTCTTTCCATGATAAGAAAGTAAATATGTACATGCTACGCTTTTGTCTCATGTTTTTTTGTTGCATTAACCGAACCGTGTCCCAATTATCCATAGCCATCATGATTGACATATTAAACCAATGGTCGAGCTCAAAAACCACGAGACGACACTGTCGACGTATCGTGCCTTCACATGTGAATGCTCTTAAAACATAGGGTGAATGTCGTAGCGGTGGATCACGCGGCATCATCAACAAAGAATCATCCAAATTAAACCTATAGGTAATCAAGTCATGCTAGATCATGCGATTCTGGATGAGGTTGCTCCCCAAACTATACACATTGTTAGTGTGTGTGTGTGTGTGTGTGTGTGAAGTGAAGAGGTTGGTATATTTCTTGAAATATAGAAACATGTAGTGATCTTACATGCTATGAAGTATCTAGCAGATTTAAAAGGTTTCTTACATATGTAGATCATCATATGTGTCATTTTATATGCTTACATGAACAAATTAGACTAACATAAGATCAAAAGGGGTTTCAAAAATGAGTTAAATGCACCAGCGGCACTCGAACTTGTAGACGTGTGTCACATAGGTCCATGAACTTGGAAAATGCATTTTTGGGTCACTAAACTTGTTAAGTGGTGCACCGCAGGCCCATACCAGCCACGTGGACATTTTTTGCTGATGTGACATGCTAGTATAACATATAATTTTCATTTAATCCCTCACATCTCTCGTCTCGTCTCGATCTTGGCAGCCGGCTCGGCCGCCGGCGACGGGCTATGCGCCTTGGCGGGCGTCCCAGCTCCCGCGGGTCGGCGTCCCCCTGCAGCCGCTCGTCCGGCAGCGCGACAAGCGCTGCCCCTTTGCTGACATTCCTCGCGGTCACCAGCGGGAAGTACTCTGACGACAGCGACGCGCCGTGCTCCGTTGTCACCCAGCACTGCGCGTTCCGCCTTCCCGATATGATCTCCAGCAGCACCATCCCGTAGCTGTACACGTCGGCCTTGGCGGTGATGGGCACGCCGGAGATCCACTCCGGCGCGAGGTACCCGATGGTGCCCCGCACCGTCGTCAGGACGCGGCTGAAGTCCCTCCCCACCAGTTTCGCCATGCCGAAGTCGGCCACCTTGGGGACGAGGTCCTCGTCGAGCAGGATGTTCTCCGGCTTCATGTCGCAGTGGATGATGCAGTCCCGGCAACCCTCGTGGAGGTACAGCAAGTCCCGGGCGGCGCCGAGCGCGATCTGGAACCTGGCGCTCCAGCTCAGCGTCGGCGGCGCCGCAGCTCCCCCAAAAAGCGCCCTGTCCAGCGAACCGTTGGGCATGTAGTCGTAGACGAGTAGCCGCTCGCTGCCGTGGGAGGAGAAACCGCGGAGGCGGACGAGGTTGACGTGCTGGATCCTGCCGATGGTGCGCACCTCGTTCCTGAACTGCTTCTCCCCCACGCAGAGGAGGCGCCTCCGAGCTTCTCCGAGAAGTTCTTGGTCGCCCTCCTCAGCTCGCTGTACTTGAACGCCACGAGGCTACCACCTTCTGCTGCTGCTTGCACGAATCTTATGCTGCTCTGTCTTCTCCTAAACATCTTAACAAACACGGACACAATGGCACACAAGACTAGGATCGACGCAACTGAGGCAGTAGAAACGAAGATTGCCGTTCTGTTACGATCTTTTGAGGACACATCCATGGCAGACAACCGGAGGTGAAGATCATCCATTCCTCAAGCACGCCAACCTGCAGTCTTGAGCGCTTGATGCTTCAACCGGCTGCGACGGGTTTCCCGGCAGAGAAATACCTAGCACCAGCAAGAAGGCGTCGCCGTCCTTGCCACTGTCACACTGCAAGGGATGGTTTCGGCGGCAGCCGTGTGAGTGATCTCCTAGCTCCTAGTCCTCCATGGAGGAGGGGCGGAAGCCGGCGGGGCAGCTACAGAATGGCTCACTCTTCTCGTCGCAGACGCCAAACGCGCCGCAGACAGCGTAGACGTCGCAGAGCTGGTGTGGCTCCGCCCAGATGATCATCCACTCGTCGGCCGACGGCACCCAGATGAGCTGTCTCACCTGGCCGGAGACATCCAAGACGAACCTGGAGATGACCGTGGGGTCTTGCAGAGAGTAGTCGAAGTAGCTGGCGTTGTCGTTGGACACGAACTCGAAGTTGTAAAAGTAGTGCGACGTCATCTCCGGGACACCGGCAAAGATGTTGCCGTTCCACTCTCTACTGCTCCAGAAACTCACGGTTGTGTTCTAGTACGTGAAGAACTGACTGGTCCCGTTCGGGTCGATCCCCAGCGAGTACACGCCGGGAGCCGAGTCACTGGAGCTCCTCCAGCAAGTCAGAGCCTGCACGTGGCCGGTGATCATGTTCATGCCGAGACGACTCCTGGGAGCCATGTGTCGGTGGGATGCTCAGTGCTCTGCCACAGGACCTCGCCGTCGTCGCGCCGGAGGACAAGGTTCGACCGTCGCACTGACCCCCCCTCCGCACTGTCCCCTCCATCGAGGAGCGCCTTCGTCACGGGACTTGGCGAGGTCCGGGCCACCCGCGCCCGGCCGGCCAGATTGAGCTTTCCATGCATGAACGCATGCGGGGATGGGCAGCGGCAGTGCGGAGCGGCCAGCGGCCAGCGGCCAGCGGCCCGGGCCCGGCGAGCGAGCACCGAGCACCGTCTGCGCGCAGTTCGAATATTACAAGAGTCCGCGCCAATGGTATGTGCCGCGCTTTTGTTGCCTTCTGCGCTTGTCCCCCGGTCCCCCCTGCCCACCTGACGGATGCAAACGCATGGCGGGGCTCTGGCTCTGATCTGCGCGTTGCACTGCATGCTGCCTCCGTCCGTCTCCATGCATGCATGCACCATTCCGGTCCCTTGTCGCATGGCATGCAATGCACGAAAAACGTGACCCGTCTTTTCAGGCTCTGCATGGCCAGCGGTGCCGCTTCATGCACAAGCATGTGAGGGGTTAAACGAAAATTATATGTCATACTAGCATACCACGTCACCAAAAAAAATGTTCACGTGGCTGGTATGGGCCTACGGTAGCACCACTTAACAAATTTAGTGACCCAGAAATACATTTTTTAAGTTTATGGACCTATATGACACACACCTACAAGTTCAAGGGCCACTAATGCATTTAACTCTTCAAAAACTTTTAGGTCTAGGAAAGGGGGGCAAGGCCTTGCTAATCCAGCTGGCTCCATTCACGATCCTTTGGTCAGCATCCACCGCTGCATCCTCGTCCATATGAGTGCCTTCTTCATCGACCATTTTGCCTCCCTCCTGGTCTTGGTCACTGCCAGCAAAAAGGCCTTCCTTGAGCTTGATTTGTAAAGCTTGCTGCCGTTGGAGTTCATCCTACAAGCATGAGAGGCAACAACAGGGGAGAGAGATGATGATGAAGAATGAAGAGAGGTATTTTATTTCATGGGAGCCGATTCCAAATATGGGAGTAGGTTCTTCGTTTCTAGGTATAGGAACAACCTCAGTGTATAGGAGCAAGTTCCATCAATATAGGATTGTTATATAATCGCCTAATGCAGATGGCCAGATGCCCTAAGTAGGAGTAGCTAGAAGGATGTTACCTCAACAAAGTGTATCATGACGAGCAAAAAGCATGCCATGTGGGTATGGAAGTACACAACAATTTAGAAAGCAACAATTTATAGATTCCCTGGCCGCTAGTAGTAAATTTGGTACGTTGCCTCGTATATATACAAACAAAGAACCAATGCAACCATGTGTCGGTGCGAAATATAGCTAACAAGTAAATATTTGTAGTTTTGCCGTGCACTGTGATCGAATGTGGCCTAGCACGCGATGATACATGATTTATACTGGTTCAAGCAATGTGCCCTACATCCAGTTCAAGTTGGTCGGGGACTTTATTCCTGAGCCTAGGTGTTCAAAGTTTGTTGTGGGGTTACAAATGAGTAAGGAATAGGAAGGGGGTGTTAGAGGCCTGGTCGGACTCTGAACTGAGTGGAAGAGAGTGACGGATGCTCAAACGTGCGCTAAGTATTAGAGCGTATGCTCTATGTGTCCGAGCTTATCAGTTGTTGAGAGTGTGTAGACTGTGTAGCTATCAAGCTCTAGAGCTATTGAGCTATTTAGCCGTCGTCCTTTTAGGAGAGAGTGCATCCCCTTTTATAGATGAAGGGGATGACCTTACAAGTCAAAGACAGAAAGGGAGAGAATGTGTATGTGTGCTACCTAGTCTTGTAGCCCACGCCGTCGGGTACGGCACGCCATTGCCCACCTTACTGTTCATGACCTGACAGGCTGCACAATGTTCACCCACCTTACTGTTCATGACCTGGCAAGCTGCACAGTGTTCGCCAGGGACGGTAAACGACGGCGCCCACAATACTGTTTGTGTTCTGACGTGTCTGGAAGGCTGTATAGTGTCCATCTGATATGGCCTGGTGGCACCGTCCTGTAGGTGCGCACGACAAGGTAGGGTACAGTCCTCGGTATTGCGGTTGACTTGAGCGCCTTACCTTATCTGCTCCTCCTGCTCCCTGGGCCCACATCGAGCAGGCGTCCTGGTCGGTCGTTCCTAGTTGGCCCAACCATGTCGGTCGGGAAGGAGAGGCGAGCAAAGGTCCGACATATCCCCAGTTGGAGGAATAGGGTCGGAGTCAGACTGTGGTCCCACCACGGCCAGGCCTTCCGGTTGGGGCTCCAAGCAGGTCTCCTGGCCTAAGGTGCCGGTCAGGGACCGGATCGTGGTCTCAGCCTGTCATTGTATATCTGGGCCGGCCCAGACGCGTGCTGTCGCTGCGCTGCCTATTGGGCCAAGTATTGCAGGGAAGCGGATCCATTGGGGACCCCGGGTTTATGAACCCGACAGGAGCCCCCGAGCCCCTTTGGGGCTTCTGTGAAGCCGTAAAGGGGCTGTTGAGTTGCCGCCTTTGAGAGCGCATGGGAGTACGATGCTAAAAGATCTCTCGTAAGGAGAGAGCATCGTACGTCTCAAACGGGCCCCTGTACCAAATTTTGGATCAGAGGACGGAGAGAGGGAGGAGAGCATTGTAGCGGGAGAACAAGGATCTTGGCTCCCTTATTTCGCTTCATGCCCCAAGGTGTGGAGCAGTCTTGGGGCTATTCACACATGCTTTGTGTGTCATTGTAAAAGCCTAGGGCTTATGTTTTTACCTTAATGAAAGCTTGTATTTGCTTTGTAATTCCTGTGCCCATTGCACCGTGGAGGTGGGCTGTTTATTGGAACTTCGGTGTTTTCCCCCTTGGTTTGTTGCACCACGTAGGGTAACCAAGTAGGATTTAGGCACCTAGCCTCCACGGGGAGGACTGGCGAAGGCCGCGGAGGCACACCGAGTAGACATAGGCGCCTAGCCCCCAAAAGGGGGAACTCATCGGTAGTCCATCATCTATCGGGTGCGCGTGAGCACACTCGGTGGGTGTAGCCCCCGAGTCCTACGGCCGACTGGTGAGTTGGTAGGAGGCTGAGCACCTTAGTACTCTTTCCTAGGGCCATAGACTCCTGTGTTCCTACCGGTCGGGGTGTTTGCTCGTGTTTGTCCCACCTGCGACCTGCGTGGTCGGTTAGATTCCCTAATCGGGGTCGGGTGGCCCGAGCCCTCGAGCCCTGTTGGGCTCGGTAGGGGTCGGTCGAGTTTAATGTGTCACCCCATCCATGATTTCCACAACTAGAGGGGTTGAGCAAACGTCGCTTGCCTCGATGGCTTGAGTGACGTGCTCGATGAGCTCACTAACGGGCATGTCCGAGTGGAATCCAGGTCCATCGTTTCTAACAGGGTCAACATAGCCCTCATGTGGCATTCCATCGCTCCTTAACCCACCTCCCGGCAGATGCCCGAGCCGTTTTCAGAGACCGACTCTAGTGGCCCGCTGGCCTCCCCTCAATAGAGATTGTGGGCATGGCTTGAGGTCAGGATCGAACGAGAAGGTTGAGATGACCCTGTTCGCTCTTGAGCGGGTTAGGCAAGGGCCGCTGGGGCTCATCTGTGTTTTCTCCCCTGGCTCTGTTTGATGTGAGGCGGCCTCGAGCCCTTCGTGGGCCAGCCTTCGAACCTCGGTCGGTCGTAGCTCATATCGAATAAGACGACTACCGCTTTGTGATGCGACGCGAAGCGTTGTGATGCAACAATTGCATATGTTATGCTTGGATGTATAGGATGAATGTATGAATGTATGAATGCATGCATGAGAATGGATGAATGAATGCTCATGCACCAGAAAAGTAAAATGGGGGTTGGTAAAGTTACCTCGATGGCTGGAGTGATGGGTTCGGGGAGCTCCTATCGGATATGTCCGAGTGGAATCCGGGCCCATCATTCATGATGGAGTTGGCATAAACCGCATGGGGCATCCCATTGCTCCTTACCTATCTCTCGGCAGTCGCTCGAGCCATCCTCTCCTCGATGGAGATTCCATCGATGGGCCGCTCCAAACCCTGCTTGGGAAGGCGGAGGGTCATTTGCATGTGGTTGTGCCTCATTTCCCGTCTGTGAGCCAGGCAACATCCCATCGGGCAAGCCACATCCCGTCAGCCAAGGCCACGTCCCACCGCATGCCTTTCCACATTAAATAGGGGGAAGGGAGAGGGTTTTCCTCCCGTTCTTTTGCCTTTCTTCAACCGCTGTCATTTCTCCTTCCTTCCATTTGCCAAGCTTGTTCATGTGCCATGACGGTTTCTAGGAGAGAGGAGGGCAGAGCGAGGGAGAGGAAAAACTCACATATTCATTCATAAACCCGAGGTGTGATGTCGAACTGGAGGCCTTCCAACGTGGATGAGGAGGTGCTGGCCGTCTTCACCGAGAAGGGGCTGCTCCCATCAAAGGAAGTGGCATATTGGAGGGCTCCCACGGTGGGGGAGGTTGTTCCACAACCCTAGGCCGATGAGGTCATCTCCTTCCTTGCCTTCCACGAGTGTACGCTCAGGTACCCCGTGCACTGGTTCCTGTGCGGGCTCCACAATGAGTGGGGCCTAGAGTTGCAGCACCTCAACTCGACTAGGGTGCCGCACATCGTTAGCTTCATCACCGTTTGTGAGGCCTCTCTTGGGATGGAACCACACGTGGACCTCTTCCTACGGATCTTCAGGGGTGGGCCCTGTCCGAGGGGAAATCACCCAGAATCGCTCTAGTCAATAGGTTCACCCTATAGAAGCGGCCTAAACCATTGGTCCCCTACCCAACG